AGAGAGAGAAAGAGAGAGAGAGAGAGAGAGAGAGAAAGAGAGAGAGAGAGAGAGAGAGAGAGAGAGAGAGAGAAAGAAAGCGAGAGAGAAGGGAGAGTTTAAAGAACACACTTAGACACAAACACCAGGGAATGTCTTGTTTATGAGAACCTCTGAATCAAAATATTCCCCTCTTAGAAGTTAAGTATGGTGGAAAAAAGTCTGAGTTCAAAAGGGGCATTGCAGACTTAAAACTAAAGCCAAACTGAAGCCAAACGAAAGCCAAACCAAAACCAAACGTGTGCCAAACGAAAACCACACGAAAGTCAAACCAAAAAACTACCCAAAGCCAGACCACCATCATCCAACCCCCGCCATTTCTTCACACCCAGGTACATCTTGAAGCCAGGCAGCAACAGTTGCAACGGCCTCTTCTCCCCGGAGCTGGTCATCTGTGTGTCGTCGTCTGTCGCCAACTTCGAGGAGCGCGCCACTCTGAGAGACACCTGGGCCTCGGTGGTCAAGGACCAGGTCCACTACGCCACGCTCTTCTTCTTCATGGGCCGACCCAGCCGCAACGAGACAGCCCTCCAGGCGGCGCTGCGGAGAGAGCAGGCGCAGTACGACGACATCGTGCAGGAAGATTTCATGGACACCTACAACAACCTCAGTCTCAAAACGGTGTCCATTCTCAAATGGGCCTCGTACAACTGCCCCAATTCCAAGTTCGTGGTGAAGGCGGATGATGACGTTTACGTGACCATTCCGAACATGCTGAAAGCGTTACGGGAGGCCAGCATGTTCCACGAGGAATTTGTTCTGGGCGTCATCAACTTTTTCGCCATCGCCGGCCACCCGGAGCGGTCAGGGAAAGACGCAGTGACCATGGAGTACCCGTATATGATGTACCCCCTCTACATCATCGGGCCGACTTACGCCATGCCTATCAGCTCGGCAAAACTCTTGTACCGAGCTTCTCTGCGCATGCCACACCACAGGGCCGAAGATGTATACGTCACAGGCTTCTTGGCGCGAGAAGCTGGGGTCAGTCTGGTCAACGATGACCGCTTCTCCGGCCACCGCTGGCCGATCGACGGCTGCGTGTTCCGCAGTAAGGTGTCGGGTCACGGCTATAGCAGCAAGGAACAGCGAGCGATCCACGCCAAGATGCTGGACTCGTCCATTCTGTGCACGGAGAGCGTGTCTCTGGCTCACACCATGGGCTCCACGCTCTTCGTCTGGCTCACGGTCTTCATGATTCTGGCGCTCTGGCTCGGCCTCTCTCGCTGCACGAGCGTTAAGTAAGTGAGTGAGGGACTTGATCGCGCGTCATTTTACACAACACGTTTAGTGAGTGCTGTAGCTATAATTATGTGCTACAACAACACATTTAGTGAGTGCTAGGTATATAT